TTTCCCCCCCGCCCCCCCCCCCCCAAATGTTCATTTCTTCCACAAAAGAATAAAGAACAAAGCAAAATCTCTCATGCTGCTGAAGTCCATGGTGAATCCCCACCTCACATGTGAGGTCCCCCTTAACTCAAAAGGAATATGACAGAACTAAAAGGTGTAATACTGAGAGAAAATTGCATAAAAAGATTGAATGAATTCTATATAAGCAACTACATAAATTAGGAATTTTTTTTGGCTCAGAAACGAGTTGGCAGAAAGGAAGATGACAGCAGCATACAGAATGACTGCTGTAACACAGAAGATGAACAGGAAAGGTCAGGTGTTGCTCAAAATAAAAGCAGTAAAGCATCAAATAAAAATTATTTCATGAAAGACAATACTTTTCTAAAAACCCAACATACTTTAGCTGCAGAATCCTGTATCACAGGATGCTGATAGATGTTAGGAATTTATATCAACTCCAAAAATGTTTAGCTCAATTTCTGTAGGAAAAAAATCCACCAAGGGCCATTAAATTAAAGACAGTAGATGGAAATGAGCAATTTGAAGACAATTCACAGTAGTACTGTAAGCTGCTGCTGGAGAAGGCAGCCGTTTTTTTGCCACTCTGAGTCAGGACTGGGGGCTGGGATGAGTATTTGGTGTTATCTTTTCAATTGTTCTCATTCACATGGGTAAAATTAATTTGGTTAAAACAACCATGAGTATGAATTATGTGTGAGTTCCTTTAAGCACATGCAAAATTGAAGTATTTGAAATAGCATTCTAAGGTTTATTTACAGCAGTTCTTTACTATAGTAACCATAGCACACACTTCAGCATGTGTTGAAATGCTGCTGCCTAGGGTCAACTTCTGTTTGATTCAGTCTTGGAGGCTAAGGGTATAACTTGTTCTGCTTTACAATGTTCTGCACCTTTCTGCAATATGTTGCAAAATGATAAAGGGCTTGCTTCAGGTCGAATTACCTGGTTATTAGCATAATAGCTTCTTTTTATGGCGTGAAGGAAGATACTTCTTTATACAGCTACAGTAGGATGGGAATTAATTAGTGGTTCTTGAGGGCACAGAATAACATTATTTACCAGGGTATTTATAAAAGACAGAGTAATCAGCTAAGGAAATTCATGTTTAGCCTCCTGCCCAGCTGTGCC